TTATGGCTTTGTTTTTCCACAGGTCCTTGTTCGAAATGTTCCACCAGATTCCGATGAATCTACAAGTGAGCTTGTGGAGCACTTTTTTCTTGTCAACCATCCAGATCACTATCTTACACATCAGGTTTGTTTCTGAAATAAGAGAACATTATCATGCATTTTAAATTTAGCTTAGTGTTAATGATAGACTTCAACTCCGCCGTGTAAGTTTATCTTACATTGCCGGTCCCAAGCCCGGATAAAGGAGGAGGGGGAGGGCGTCAGGTAGTCGACAGCCGGCACTCCATGATCACGTCGAATCCTTATGAAAATTAGCCGACCCCACTTAGTGGGAAAAGACTTTGTTGTTGTTGTTTGTTAATGATAGACTTCGGAGAGATTTTTACATAAGGAGAGAAAATATTTTCCTTTTATTTTTCTCGTGTTTCTGTGTGGTTTAAATAGTTAGGCCGTGCTTATTTTAATAAAAACTTCATTATCCCTACTTGCCTAGATAGTATAATTTTGTGAAACATCTCCACCTAATTAACCCCATTCTGAATATTACATGCAGGTGGTATATAATGCCAACTCACTTGCGAAATTGGTAAAGAAGAAGAAAAAGATGTTGAACTGGCTTGTCTACTATCAAAATAAGCTTTCTAGAAGTAAAACCGCAACAAGACCCTTAAGGAAGGTACGTCAAATGCGCTCATGTGTTAGAAACTAATATGTTTCCGGTGCTTAGAGCTACTTATTAATTTCTGATTTAACCTGTATATTGTGCATATGTTAATATCAGACTGGTTTTCTTGGGCTCTGGGGAAAAAAAGTTGACGCAATCGAACATTATAAAACTGAGATTGAGAAATTGACAGATCAAGTAAGTACCCTTGAGTTCCTGGTCAAATCTCTACTTCCCCAGGAGGTTGATTCAAATGCATTTTTCTTCTTTTTTCTCAGATAGCTAAAGAAAAAGAGAGGGTTGCTCATGATCCGAAGTCTATCATGCCAGCCGCCTTTGTTTCCTTTAAAACTCAATGGGGTGCCGCTGTTTGTGCACAAACTCAGCAATCCAGAAACCCAACTATTTGGTTAACCGAGTGGGCTCCAGAGCCACGTGATGTATATTGGCCAAACATGGCAGTTCCATATGTACAACTCACGGTCAAGAGGCTTATTATGGGTGTTGCATTCTTTTTTCTCACCTTCTTTTTCATGATCCCCATTGCAATCGTACAGTCTTTTGCAAGCCTCGAGGGAATTGAGAAAGCAGCTCCATTCCTAAAGCCCATTGTAGAAGCGTGAGTTGTTTCATCCATGAAATTTTTAGCCCAGTATCCAGTTTTTGTTATTACTATTACTAATATCACCTTGATTGATATGCAGGAAATTCATTAAGTCAGTCATTGCAGGTTTCCTACCCGGAATTGCGCTGAAGTTATTTCTAATTTTTCTACCAACCATATTGATGATCATGGCAAAATTTGAGGGCTATCCATCTAAGTCTTCTCTTGAACGGAGAGCAGCATCTAGATACTATCTCTTCTCTCTGGTGAATGTATTCCTTGGGAGCATTATTACTGGAACTGCATTTGAACAGCTAGAATCTTTCATTCACCAATCAGCAACCGAGTACGTAATCCTTGAAGATAATTTTTTTTAATGTGTTGTTCACCGTCTCTTATTTTGGTTCAGATCATGAAAATGAAGTATTTATCGTATTTTTGCAGTATTCCAAAAACAATTGGTGTTGCTATCCCAATGAAAGCAACTTTCTTTATCACGTATATAATGGTTGATGGATGGGCCGGTATTGCTGCAGAGATTTTGATGTTGAAACCGCTGATAATATACCACTTGAAGAACTCCTTCCTGGTGAAGACTGACAAGGATAGGGAGGAGGCCATGGATCCAGGAAGTATTGGTTTCAACACTGGAGAGCCTCGTATTCAGTTATATGTCTTACTCGGCCTTGTGTATGCTACAGTTACACCAACCTTACTTCCGTTCATAATAATTTTCTTTGGCCTGGCTTATGTGGTTTTCCGTCATCAGGTAAAAAGTTGGCTTCAAATTATACTTCCGCTCTAATAGTTATATCTTTTGTTGTAGGATATTTTTAACCTCTATCTTTTTTATGCTCCACATGCAGATCATAAATGTCTACAAGCAGGAGTATGAGAGCGCCGCGGCATTCTGGCCTGATGTCCATGGTCGTATCATCACTGCATTGATCATCTCACAACTCCTCTTGTTTGGGCTGTTGAGTACAAAAAAAGCTGCTCAGTCAACGCCGTTTCTCATTGCGCTTCCAGTACTGACCTTATGGTTCCATAGGTATTGCAAAGGTCGTTTCGAACCTGCATTCAAGACCTTCCCATTACAGGTATGTAGAGATTTCACTTGTTGCCTCTTTCTAATCTGCTCATCAAAATTATCATGGTCATTTAATTCTTTGTTTTTTGGTGTTTAGGAAGCAATGATGAAGGATACACTGGAACAAGCAAGAGACCCGAACTTGAATTTGAAAGGCTATCTTCAGAGCGCGTATATCCATCCGGTTTTCAAGGAGTGTGGCGACGAAGACGACAATGAATCGTTACAAAAGAGTGAAACCGAGAGCGTGATTGTGGCCACAAAACGGCAATCCCGGAGGAACACCCCAGCGCCTAGCAGAATGACAGGTGGATCCTCGCCGTCAATGCCTGATGTTGAACTTGCACAGCCGTAAATTCCAAGTTGGAAACGTAGATGTTAGCTGTAAATTTGACCGGTACAGTGTCTTTACGAGTGGAGGATAATGGCGTTGTAAATCAAAAGAGCTGATAACGATGATGCACGGGGAGGGCGGAGAGAGAGACTCCCGAGTTTTTGTTGCTCGTTGTGCAAAGGAAGAAGACGAACGGGAAGACGGTAGGACAATGTAGTTTGGTTTTTGCAGTGTCTTTTCTGTGTTGACAAATTGTGTAGTTTGTGAAATTATGCTTTTTGAAATGGTTTGTATATTGACAGATGTTAGTTGAAATATCATGGAAGTGAAAGGAAGCGTTTTCTTTATGTAACAGTGCAGTAAACATGTAACTTATGATTCACCCACTCCGAGGCAAACAAAACCCAAAACTAGAACAGGAACAAAAATTATGCTGACGACGTGGAGTAGGGTTCTCTCTCATTCTCGTCTTTCTATCCTTCATTTTCTTTCTATTTGAATGGTTACGGCTAAGTTACGTCAATATTTGGTATTAATTTTTTAGGGCTAAATAGCCAAAATGGTCCATGAGATTTGCATAACTCATCACTTTGGTCCCTAACATTTCAAATCGATAAAAGTGGTCTCTGAGATTGTCCCTAACATTTCAAATCGATAAAAGTGGTCCCTAACATTTCCGAAAAAACCACAAAGATTTAGCCATCTAAAAAGGTACCATTCTCTTTGTCTCGTCAAGAAATATGATTTTCGTTTTTGAATCACTTGATTTCATTGAATATTGAAGAAGTTATGAACGTTTAAAGTTTACCCAGTTTCCGACGAGTTTTTCAGTTTTTCTTTGGACCAGTCAACTTTGAGGCTATTTTCCGGCCATCTCCGGCAGCCATTGGGCTTCCAAATAGGTATAATCTTATTCTACACTTTTCTATCTTTATTTTGATATATTATGGGTCGAATTTGGTTAAGAAAAGATTGAGTTACGAAGCTTTGAAAATTGCCCAAACTTCCGGCCAAGAGCTTCGGGACACTTAACGGAGTTTTTAATAGAATGACCAAAATGATGGATGGTGGACAATCTCATGGACCACTTTTAACAATTTGAAATGTTAGGGACCAAAGTGATGAGTTATGCAAATCTCAAGGACTATTTTGGCTATTTAGCCATTTTTCAGTAGCGAGAAGAAGATAAAAAACAATATGTGAAGGGACAGGAGGAAAGGTGATGAGAATAGGATGAGAGAGAATTCTACTTATTTTGTAAATGCACCCATGTGTAAGTGATGCAATATGCGAGAATTCTTGTATATTCTAGTTTTTAACTGGTAGAATTAGATTATTGTACTTTTTGAGCAAAGATTTAATGATTAAAAGCGTCAAAGTAAACAATAATAGAAAAATTATAACAGTTTTATGTCATTGGATGTGGAACATACACATCGGTTTGTCATAGAGCTTGTTTGGAATAGTTCTTAAAATGATTGAAATTGTTTATGATGAAAATATTTTTGGGATCAATTTTTAGTAAAAAAACAAGTTAATCATGGAGAAGCACTTCTTAGAAGCAGTGTTTTTTGCACAAAGTACTTTAAGTGCTTTTAGAACCCACAAATATTTAAAAAAAAAACACTTTCTAAACAAGCTCATTGTTTATGGTAAGCATAGTATCAAAATGCTATATATGTTAATTAATGTTTCTTTATTTATATATTTCTTTTACAGTTTGTATCTATCCACATCTTAATGCTGTATTGCCTTAACGGTCAAGGTACTTGAAACTTTTTATTTTTTTTTGGTAATCAAGGTACTTGAAAATTTAACAATAAAAAACTTATATGCCTTCTACACAATAACGTATCAATTTTCCTTTTTTTAGATCAGACTAAAATGTCGTTTTCAATAAAAATAAACATTAATTCATACTAGTGTGAATCTCTCATGATTTCTACCTTTTATACGAAAAAGTTTTCAGTGTATCGAGAACACGGGTACATTTTTTTTTAAGTGTCCAACCAACTATATTATTATATTTAATGTACCGAGCCGTGTTTCCGGCGTATTAAAAATTTCTTCAATTAAATAGAGATTTTTCAATTTACTTGAAAAATGAGTCGGTATACCTAACGTCGTAATATAAAATATGAACATTAAGAAAAAAAATGTGGCGTACGAGTTCGTGTTCCAGCCACGTAAAAATCTGTCCAATAGAACAACACATCACAATCATGGGAAGTGGGCCAGAGATATGTACTAAATAAGGCCCAAACCACGCACACAGAGACGAATTAGATACCGTTGGCCGAACGACTTTCCAAATCCAAAGGGGACAAATTCTGCTGCCTAGTCGTCCCCGGAAAAAAACGCTCCGTATATATACCCTTCGTCCAAATTAACCAGCTTCCGCACCTCTCTGCGACGCTCCCTCCATCTCTTTCTTCTCACTTTTCGTTCCTCTGATATCTGCTCGCACTAGCGATTCCTTTCGCCCCCAAGATTCCCAGAAACCGTTTCGAACCCAGAATTCAGAAAATTCGATAGCTTCAAGAAATCAATCAACATGCAAGTGCAACAACGCCTCTGAAAAACCAAATTCCCAGCTGGTTATTCGGCTCTCTGGAGTTTTCAATCATTTTTAGGTCAGTCCCATTTGAATTCTCTCGTTTCTATCTGCCATTTTATTCGAATTCTTGTTCTTTTCTGAAAATTTGGTTCTGTTTTATGAATTTTGGCGCTTAAAGCAGAAAAAAAAAGGAAAAAATTGCTCGTTTGGGTGGGACTGGATTATATGGTTGTATGGGAATGGGATTGGATTAAGGGGTTTGTCCATGAAACCGGATTGTGGGTCGGTTGACTGAAGTCAACCGAGCTGCATTGACTCAGAACAGTTTTGGAATGTCAAAACAAATTGGAATTTAATTCAAATACATTGTTGTATTCTTGGTATTAAATATCAATCTGTTTGTTTTCATGGAAAATAAAAATTTTCTAGGAATGATCACAGTCAACAGTGGCGTTTGTTCTGCACTGACTCAGAACAGATTGGAATTGTATTCAAATACAATTTGCAAGGATGATTATTATTTAAATTCAATCTGCTTGTTTTCGCCAAAGAAAATTTCCGGGGAGGATCACTGTTGTATGATGTGTGCAATTGGCATTGTTTATCCATAAAAACAATTCAATTTTTATGATGCACAATTGCACATATTGGTTTTTTTCATCCTAAAAGAAAACAAATGGATTATGTGAACCTGTAACATTGTTGGTTTTGAATGCTACTACGATTCCGATGATTCTGTCCTGTTCTATAGGAATTGAGAATGGAAGTTTTGATAGTAGAACAAGGGCGGCTGGAGCGGTATAACGATAAAGATATTAGGGTGCCTAAGAGAAGACGTTCCGAGTTCCTGCATCATGGAAAGGGCGGCGACAAATCAGAAGAGGATGAAAAGCACAAGGACTTCTCATCATTGACTGGAACAGAGTCTAAAAAGAGACGGCTTGCTCCAGAGAATGGAAAAAGGATTTCAAAAAAGCGACGCTCCTCAAAAGTGGTAGAAAGTTCTGAAGATGAGTTTGATGGGGAAATTCTGTTTCTTAAGGCACAAGCGCGCAAAAGGGGAGGAGTTGACTGTGAAGTGATAGGAAGAAGTTCCTTAAAGGATGAAACAGTAAGATATGAGTCAAAGAATGGAGCTTGCAATACCTCGTCTTCTTCACCACCGACTTCCCCTGGATCATCTTCAAGATATATGAAGGTATTATTCATCTCCCATACAGTTGCCTTTTAATTTTATCTAAGTAAATAAGGGCAGTCTGACTGAAAGTTTTCTGTTTCTTTCTTAAAGCAGGATAATGAAGAAGTTAATTTAAAGTGTCATCAGTGTATGAAAGAGGAGAAGAAGACTATTGTTTCCTGTTCCAATTGTAAAAAGAACTCCTATTGCATCCGCTGTATCAAGCAATGGTATATATTTAATACAGATGCGGTTTCTTTTTGAATTTGAAACTTTTTTTATTTTATTTTATCATGATTTCCTTCTGTTGTTCATATAGGTATCCTCACATGAAAGTAAAGGAAGTCAAGGAACTTTGCCCATTTTGCCGTAAGAATTGCAACTGTAATGTATGCCTGCACTCAACTGGTGTGATTAAGGTTTGTTTCCCTATTATTACTTTCTAAGTATTGCTCCCTCTAAAGAAAATTGTACTAATATGGGATCCTTTCTTTTTTGGGAACTGCAGATACCAGAGATGGATTTAGATGACTGCAAAAAGGCTCAGCATCTGGAGCATTTACTTTCCAACTTGCTTCCATTTCTAAAGAAAATTTCCCAAGAACAAAATCAGGAGATAGAGATTGAAGCTAATCTTCGAGGTACAATATTATTGGCTTTAGCTTCAGTTTGTTTTTAACTTTACGACACTTCTAACAACAAGTGTCCTTCAGGGCTTTCACCTTCTGCAGTTGAAATACCACAGACTCTCTGTTTTAACGATGAGCGTGTCTATTGGTAAGCATCTCTACTTTACTACAAGGGAATATTATGTGATTTGTTTTGTCGTTGTCTAAATATTACTTTGTATGCTTGGAACAGCAACCACTGTGCAACTTCGATCATTGATCTACACCGAAGCTGCTCAAAATGTTCGTATGAACTTTGTCTAAATTGCTGCCGAGAAATTCGCCAGGGATGTCTTTTTGACCGTGGAGACGTGAAATTTCTGTATAGGAGTAGGGGTTATGATTACATCCATGGTGGAGATCCGGCACCTGATTGTTGTCCCTTGAAAGATTCAGAGGACCATATTGAGCCTTTGACTGAGTGGAAGGCAAACGGTGATGCTACTGTTAGTTGTGCTCCGAAAGAAATGGGTGGCTGTGGTGACTGCGTGTTGGATCTCAAGCGCATCCTTCCGGCTGACTGGATCTCAAATTTAGTGGTGAAAGCAAAATATTTATTAGAGACTTTCCAAAAAGAGCGTTCTACATTCAAGCATAATTGTGAAACAAGAAGAGATATGTTACGAAAAGCAGCTTCCAGAGAAGGTTCTTGTGACAACTTCTTGTTTTGCCCTGATTCAAAGGACACTCTGAAAGAAGAAGAGCTTTTGCACTTTAAAGAACATTGGGTGAATGGCGAACCAGTTATTGTTAAAAATGTGCTCGAACAGGCAAATGGTCTGAGCTGGGAACCAATGGTAATGTGGCGTGCTTTAAGTGAAAATATGGATGCAGCTAGTACACAATATTCAGAAGTAAAGACCATCGATTGCCTGGCTGGTTGTGAGGTGTGGTTCTTTTAGCAGCTGTTACTCTATTTGCTCTTTTAACTTCTGGCAAATGATAATTTTTCCTTAATGCATTCATTTGAACAGATCTATAAATATCGTTTCAAATCCCCTTGTTTGGTGTGCTTGACAATCTAATGTCTTATGTCGTTCAATATTTTTTTCCTATACTTCTACAATAATTAATTTGGCACAACAATTTTCCTGCCTGGAACTATGGCTGCTTTAGTAGTATATCACCAATTTTATCTAAAGATCCTCTCTCTCCCCTCTCACGCAGACTTTTTTCTGAAGTTTTTCATTCCTCTTTTCACTTTGTATTTTTCCGCCCATATTGTGCATCTAATGCTGTTTTGTGAACTTCTGCAGGTGGAAATCAACACTCGTCAGTTTTTTCAAGGATACACCGAAGGGAGAATGTACAAAAACTTGTGGCCAGAGATGCTTAAGCTGAAGGATTGGCCCCCTTCTGATAAGTTTGAGGATCTTTTACCGCGTCATTGTGATGAATTTATCAGTGCCTTGCCATTTCTAGAGTACACAGATCCTAGAGCTGGTTTCCTTAACCTTGCTGTTAAGTTGCCGCCAGGTGTCTTGAAACCAGACTTGGGTCCAAAAACATATATTGCTTATGGTTTTATGGAAGAGCTTGGAAGAGGAGACTCCGTAACTAAGCTCCATTGTGACATGTCTGATGCGGTATGACTTAAAACTTGGAACCTGCACAATTTTCACATAGTTGATTGAACAAATATTATGCATCCTAATTTTTTATAGCAGGACCTGAAAAACAAGGTTTATGTCAGTATCTTGACATGTTCTTTCAACTTCTGTAGGTGAATATTTTGACACATACCGCTGAAGTGCAGTCAAGTAATGAGCAGCAGTCTGCAATTTCTAGGTTGAAAAAGTTACATAGGGTGCAAGATGAAAGAGAACTTATGGATTGGGAGAATTCTCACAAGGATCGTGTGAAGTGCTGAGAGCACAATTTCTAAAGGATCGGTGCGATCTGAGAAGTTGAACTTCGGACATAGATGAATTCTCAGGACATGATCCGACTTGTTCTAGACATCCTCCAGAAGCAACCGAGGACAAGACGGGGAAGAAACCCTAGAAAGCAATCGCCCATCTGAAATTAATGGAGAATTGAAAGTTCGGAAAGATGAACTAGATGATCCGTCTTGTTCTTCCTCCAATGAAGCAACCGAGGAAACGGGTGGTGCTTTGTGGGACATCTTCCGCAGGGAGGATGTCCCTAAGTTAGAGGCTTATCTGATGAAGCATTATACAGAATTTAGGCACACCTATTGCTCACTAGTTGAAAAGGTACTTAATATTTTCTTCAGTTTTTCTTTAGCCAAATTGTGCTCCAAGGGCGCTGATGTTTCCTTTTTCTCTCGTGTTTCTTGGGTTAGGTCATTCATCCAATTCATGACCAATCTTTTTATTTAACGTTGGAGCACAAACGGAGGCTGAAGGAGGAATTTGGTATGTAAGAAGTCAAGAATCTGTTGATGGTTTTCCCTTGGATGTTAACGTTATACCACTTGAATGTTAACTGGCATGATTTTCCCTTTAAGGTGTCGAACCATGGACTTTTGTACAAAGACTCGGAGAGGCGGTATTTATTCCAGCCGGATGCCCACACCAAGTCAGGAATCTCAAGGTCCTATATCATTAGTTGTCAATACACTTCCTCCTTTCAAATATTTTCACTTGGATGACTCTGAAATATTATGTTTTCCAACCTGCAGTCCTGCACGAAAGTAGCAGCGGACTTCGTATCTCCTGAAAATGTCCATGAGTGCTCTCCGTTTAACGAGGTCCGTTTAGTTTAGACAAACGTCGAAGAAGACCAGAGAGTTCCAGAGACTCAGACAAACCTTGAGGTAAAACCACTTGTGTTAACTACTCTTTATTTAATCGATTTTCCGCCAACTTATTTCGCTTAATTTCCTCTCCTAAAGTTACTTCGGCCTTGTCTCTTTGGCGCAACAGATAAAAAAGATACTCTCTCTAGATTAAGATTTTGCTTTCGACTCAAGCAGTCTGAAGCGCTTAAAGATCAAATCTTGTAAAGCCCTTGGAAAATTTTGAAGAAATTTAGACTACCAACCTGCAATAAGATTTTAAAGCGGCTGTATCCCTGTGAGAACCATCGATCAGGGTTTCAGTTGGAATGCCTGACAGCCAAATTTCTGAAAGGCTCTGCGAAGCACTGGTTTAATTTTGTCCGCTAAAATCAATTTTCTCGAATTTTCCTTCGTCTAACTCTTCCGAAGATCTGATCCATTTTTTCCCGCTATACTCTAATGCTACTCCATACCGTATTACTAGACCTTGTTTCCTTTCGCATGGTACCCGTGTAAGCTGTTGACTTATCGGGTTGAAGTTCTCTTGCACTCCAAATAATTTTAATAGCCAGATAGCCTTTTGTTACTAACCGATATTAATCTTGTCTTTTTCTTTGCATTTAGTAGACCAAAAATGTTTACTGTGCTTTCTTCATGGTTAACCAACGATAACTTGTGGATTCCAATGCTGCCTTTGTGTACTTATAGAAGGATTTTATGTTAACGTATTTGCTTGATTAAAGCAAATGTTTCTAGATTATGGAGCCCCGTCAAGAGCTTCGAGAATTAATCTGTAGTTGCCCTGATTTATTCTAAAGCTCTGTTGAAAGTGCCTTTATCCGTTTGAATAGATGCTATGAATAGACTGAACTTTAAAAGAAAAGAATTTATTTTTCAGGTTTCTAAAGCACTTAATGAAGCTGATTTATTTAAATGGCATATTCTGATCACTTAACTTTTTTTTAGGTTTTTACTAAGATTTGGTTTCACAAATGTTTTCATCAAAAATGCTTTCAGTCATTTTAAAAACAGTTATAAAACAAAGTCCCGAAATCCACGTATTGCAATATTAAGACCAAAATGGCTCAGAGATGAGAATAAAGTATTCTAAAAAATTAAATTTGTTGGTTTTCCGAATAACCGCAACTACTCTTAATCCTCCATCGATTTTTTTCTGGAGTGTTCTTGTTTTTTATTAAACTCACTTCCGAATCTTTATTTAGTCAGACTCGGTATATAGAGTCAAAGGAAATTAAATTATATCGTTCAGTATACTCTGTTATCATCTATAATTAAGTCATCTCTCTATGCAACGATAAAAAACTCAAAAAAAACTTGTGATAACAAACAAAAACGTTGAAAAATCACTTCCCTGGATCATGACTGGTTTCGATTCTGTCACTCGTCTGGCCTTTCCGAAGAACCAAAACTCCTTGTAAAAGTTCAGTTGGTCCCGCCCCACCTCAAAAGAAGCGGTTCTCACTCTTTGTGATAGTGGGACGAGTGATGTAATCCAACCCAGGTCCTTCTCCAAAATCACTCTTGAATGTAAGCAACATCTAAGTTAATGGAAATGTTAAATGCATACTAAGCAAACCATTATACATGTTATGAAATGACGACACTTGAGTGTCAAAGTGTTTTCTTGTACTGACATATTATTGGCAAGTGAAAATATGTTAAGCTTATTAGTTTCAAAATATTGTATCTAAAAAGCGCAAAAGCACGAATAAGACTAAATCTGTGACATATTGACCTAGATCTTGAATCAACTAGTAGATCATCATCAACACAGGGTCCCAATTCATTTGGCGACCACGAAGTCACCGAAAGAATTGCCGATCACTAACGGTATTGGGCAATGTTCACATGCACTTTATACTTAAAGTGACTTACCTGCAAAGTAAAGTTAAAACTCATAACATTATATAACTTTGCATTATTGGTCCGAATCTCTAGGTCTGCTTGCTATGGACTTCAAGATCTAGAGACGTCCTCGATCCATATTTACACTATGGTGGCGGATTTGAGTTAAGCCACACAATTAATCAGCCATAATATATTTGTATCTAATTCGTCATCCATAAAAGTAAAAAAGAAAAAGAAAAAAGAGGAATACAACTAAACCGTATACTAATTGGTCTATCACACTTTTAATGGTGTATAAAATAGGAAATTGTTATTAGCACTCCAAAAATCTCATTCTACAATTCTCACAAGTGTATTTTTCTTTCTAATTATAGAAAGTTTAGTGTGTCAAATGAGATATTTGAAATGCTAATAACAATTCCCATAAAATATTATCAAGTAATAGAGTGAAGAATAGTATTTAGTGAAATGCTGAAAAAACTAAAACAAACCCTAAAATACTAGATTGGAAAAGGATAGAAATTCAAGATTTATGAAAAGACAATCATAAGCAATAAAAATAAATTAAAAAAAAACGACAAAAACAAATCATAAACAAAAAAGACTTATGGAAAGAAAACTATGAATAAAGATTAAAAGATTGTGTATTTGCTTCCTTCCTTACCCATAATTACTTGCGATCCATGATCAAGTAGAAACCATGAAACCATCTTTCTAGGCTTTTGAAGATCTCATGCGCTCCATTACAAATTGATCATTTTTCAAGACAGTCCTTGGGCAAACTCTTTTCTTCACCATCTACCGCGAATCAATCGGATCTCAAAATTAATTGCATAACTAAAATTATCCTCCATGAAAACACCAATTATTGAAACCGATTCATATAACTATGAATAAATGATCTTTTAAGGATTCGACATAAAAATAAAGTGCCGACTGCCGACTACCTGAAGTCCTCCCCTTCTCCTCCTCCTCTTGAATCCGACAACATAAGATAAACTTACACACACATAGTTTATGAATAATCTAAAAATACAAATTCTTGAAGCCTTGAAATCCCTATAGCCCAGAATACCCATCTTCCAAGAGAAACCTCACTTCAAAGATTGACCAAAAGAAAAGTTTGGTTAGAAGTTCTTTTTATAGTGAGATTTGTGTGGTGTTAGGGTATCTTAACCCTAATGAAATAACCAAATTGACCTTGCCTTAGAATTTAGTATAGGAAGTTGCATGAATCATGGCTATTTAATAGGATTGATCGTTACGTATCAAATTCAGGATTCAAAAAGTCCATGCAATTCTTAAAATTCTAGCAAAACCTTGACTTCTCAATTTTTTTGTTTACTTTTTAACCGTTCGATTTTATTTTTATTTTTTTTAAAACAAAAATCTAATAGTTAAAACGTATAAAATCTTTTGTATTTGAAGACACCATAAAAAGTCTCGAGTTTATATTACATGATACGAATGGACTAAAAGATATGCATATATTTCCTCCTTCCGAAAGAGTCTTATAAACACTTAAATAAGAATCCAATCATCAACAACCACGTCATATGATTTATACAATTTAGTTTAAATAGAGAGTGATGCTAGAGAGATCAAATTTTTAGAAGATCTTTAATAATTAGTGTCTTTTTTAATAATTTAAAGAATGAGTTCAACCATCAATCGCTATATCATGTAATTTACAAAATATGGTTTAAAAGTGGATCTCTCTAATATTACCTAGTAAGTCGACAAAAAAAAAAAAAAAACATTTCCTAATAAGTAATAATTTTGTAATTTCAGTAGAAGAGCCTTAATTTAAAGATTGTCAAAGTCTGCGACGTAAGCCGTTTGGCTAGTCCAAAAGTAATTTCAATCAAGGGAGTGAATATATTTGTTCTTGCTGTGTGCATGCATGCATGCATTTGCCAGCAAAACAAGTTAAAATTCTCGAAGCCATCTGAGAAGAAAGAGCTCATTTCCCTTGAGCCTCCTTTTGGTTTTGAGCTCCTCGTGCTCGATCACTGTTTCTCCGGCGAGGGTCTCTCCGAAGAAACAGATCCAATTGCGACAGTTGGATTCGTCGACATGATTCTTAACACTGGTAATGCGATTGAGGAGTCAGTAGTAGAATTTGAGGAACATGCAGGATTAAGGAGAATTGGAGATGAAGGGGTTGTGGAGAAATGAGAATCCTGGAAATTGGGATTTTAGAATAAAAGAAAATTTAATTGGGGGTGGGGGCACAGACTCATCCATCTAAGGAGTGATTTTTCAGTGTGTCGAAACACGCTAGTATACTAAGTGTAATAATACAATCAGTTAGATTTTTTTTTCAAGTTTCCAACAAATCTTATCATTACATTTGATGTACCTAGCCGTGTTCTCAGCACACTGAAAAATTTCTCTCATCTAAGAGAATTGCTACTTAACAAAAATAAGAAAAGAAAGGAACCGAAGTTGGGAAAAGGATCGTCAACTAAATCCCCTTGTTAATCTGATTTCTAATCTTTAATATTTGAATATGAACTTGAGGAGAGAACTTACACTTTTCTCATGCATAAGTAAACGTAAGAGAAAGTTAGTTAATTAATTCTCATATTTTAGTAAACACAAGTAACTCAATAACTCAAGTAATTTTAAGAACAATGCTACACTTACCACATATTTGTATTACTATTTGTATCTTTTTTTTAACAGAGGTAGGACCCACCAACGTATTTGGCTCTCATCTCTATTATTTTCCAACAAGCCCACACGTAGAAACCCAGCTGGGCCCAAACTTGGGCTAACTTTAAGCCCAAAACCCCAGACCCAACAAACCAAAACGAGCGCCAAACAACGGTCTCACAGCACGTTATCTCATCCACTCTTCCCAGCCACTCTCATTCTTCTTCTTCTTCTTCTTCTTCAGCTCAATGCGAAATGAGTTCTTCTCCTCACGCGCTACTCCATCTCCAACCCCGACCTCCTCCGCAGCCCCCCTTATGCTTCGGCTCGATTCCATTTCCTTCGCAATCACTCACCCAATTCAAGAAATTCAGAAAAAGCAACTTTTCTCTGAAGTTGTACAATAACGGCTCCAAAAGCGGCGTTTTCGGTAGAACTAGCGTAATCAGAAGCTCGGTGGCCGAGGAATCGAATGGTGCGGCGGAGCAGAAGCCGAAGCAGCAAGCCGTGGTGAAGAGGCCCTACCCCTTCCACGAAATCGAGCTCAAATGGCAGTGTTATTGGGAGGAAAACCGGACGTTTCGAACCCCCGATGAAATTGATACCTCCAAGCCCAAATACTATGTTCTTGACATGTTCCCGTATCCCAGGTCTCTCTAACTTTCATAAAAATCTGTTCTTTTTTGTTATATATTTATTTTTAAATTTCAATTGCAAGTGATTGTGAATGTAGAAAATGTGAAGACCCAATTTTAGTAACATGATTTTGTGCTGTTTGATTCATGAAAGTTTAAATTTTTGCAGGTAAAAAGTGATTGCTTGAGCAATTGGGTTAAATGAAAAACTTAAACTTTCAAAATTCATATGCCTTCTGGAAATTGCAGTAATTTGGACGTTTGGATTAATATGCTTTTTCCTGTATGTAGGATTGGATAATTTTTTATAACTGTAAAATTTTCAGGTTGTTCGGTTTATGTTAACTAAAATCTAAAACTGGTATGCTCATTTGGATGGTTTATTGCAGCGGTGCTGGGTTACATGTTGGCCATCCACTTGGATATACTGCCACAGACATTCTTGCTAGGTTCAAACGTATGCAGGGTTACAATGTGTTACACCCAATGGGATGGGATGCATTCGGATTGCCGGCGGAGCAATATGCAATAGAGGTTCGCCTTTCGGCCCTTTTGTATGGCTTGGAACTATTTGAATATTGCGGCGGGTTTGAAGGATTAGTTATTAATTTGGTTATGTTGTATGTGTCTGACAGACAGGAACCCACCCGAAGATCACAACCTTGAAGAACATTGATCGCTTTCGCTCCCAGGTCATGTAATATTCGTTTTATTGCTGGATGTGTAACAAGTCAGTAAATGAAGAAACTTGGCAAACTACGACTTGAGATCAACTACAGAATATTGTATACCTGTATTGGGAATGACAGTACAGGTCCTTTAGAAGTTAAATTTGAAAATGAATTTGTTACTTCAATCTAATGGTTCGTAAGCCAGTAAGTCAAGTTATTATTTAGTATTTAGTTGATGATTGAAGGGGTGTTTTGGGACCCATAAATGTTTGCCAATGTTAGGGATGGTAGGCTTGCATTAAAAGTGAAACCCGCTACCCACGTTTGATAATAGATTGTTGAGCTCTTGGTTTGGTGGATTGCATTATTTGTTCCCTATGTATTGACATTTTGTATTTGCTTGCAGCTTAAATCGTTAGGATTCTCATATGACTGGGATCGCGAAATTTCTACAACAGAACCAGAATATTATAGATGGACCCAATGGATCTTTCTTCAGCTATTAAAGAGAGGATTGGCGTATCAGGTATAAATGAGATACTGGCTGTAGATAATTTCTAACGTTTCACCATTACACAGATCTGACAATCTCTACTTTGTTACATTCAGGCTGAAGTGCCAGTCAATTGGTGCCCTGCTCTTGGTACTGTCTTGGCAAATGAAGAGGTGATAGATGGTTTGAGTGAGCGTGGGGGTCATCCAGTTATAAGAAAGGTATATACTGGTTTGATGCATTTTCATTTTACAAACCATCTAAGATAATAAACTTATTGGCTTAATTCCAAGTTCCGGATGGTTTTATAATTTTACAGTGTCATTGTTTATTACCGAGCAGCCAATGAAGCAATGGATGCTCAAGATCACTGCATATGCTGATCGTCTTCTAGACGATTTAGATGACCTTGACTGGCCCGAAAGCATAAAAGAAATGCAAAGAAACTGGATAGGGAGGTCAGAAGGTGCTGAGATGGAATTTCCTATTCTTAGCAGCGATGGACTGGAAAGAGGCACAAAGATTACAATCTATACTACCAGGCCTGACACCATATTTGGAGCAACGTAATAATAATCATACACCAAATTCCTATCTTGATAAAAGTTTTACATTTGAGGCACTTGTACAGAAAGCATTTTACATAGTGTCCCTAAATCTATATTTGTTTTTTTTTTGGCTCCAGCTATTTAGTCGTGGCACCCGAGCATCCCTTGTTGTCAACGTTTGTATCAACAGCTCAGAGAGAAACTGTACGTTCAATTGTTTCTTGCCCAGTTTTCTCAAAGGTTTCTTATGATGGGTAATTAGAGGGCCAACAATATTGAGCACAGGTGGAGGAGTACATAGATCTTGCCTCAAGAAAGAGTGACCTTGAGAGGACTGAGCTTCAGAAGGAGAAAACCGGGGTCTTCAGTGGTTGCTACGCTAAAAATCCAGTTAATGGGGAAGCTGTTCCTATATGGGTTGCGGACTATGTCTTGGGGAGGTCTGTTTGGCTTTATGCTCATTTCCTTCATTCATTACAACTGTTCTTCCCATTAGAAAAATCCAATATTACTGACGTTTTAGAAAGATCCAATATTACTGACGTTTTGACAGCTACCTTTGTATGGTGTGTAAAAGGGGAATTTTATCTGTTGATTATTTCTCCTCATGCAAATATGTTTCATCAAGTTGCTATAAAACTTTTACACGGGACTTTGTTACTTTGCAGTTATGGAACAGGGGCCATTATGGCTGTTCCTGCACATGACACTCGTGATTTTGAGTTTGCATCAAAATTTGACATCCCAATTCGTTGGGTTGTAATGCCGGATGATAAAAATATCAGTGGTTCCAAAAAGGCCTATTCAGGTGAAGGTACTGTTATAAATTCTTCAAATTCAACACTGGGGCTGGACATTAATGACTTATCTAGCAAAGAAGCTGCTTCCAAAGTCATTGACTGGGCTGAGAAAACTACACATGGGAAGAAAAAGGTGAGTTTTCAGAGCACGGAAGCTTATGTACTTAGACATTTGGAGTATGCCTACTTGCTCTATGCATATGATATATGATTTGTTCTTTTTGCTCAAACTTGTCTTTCTTCAGGTGAACTTTAAGTTAAGGGATTGGCTTTTTGCTCGGCAACGTTATTGGGGTGAACCTATTCCAGTAGTTTTTTTGGATGATACTGGTGAGACTGTTCCCATACTTGAAACTGAACTGCCCCTTACCCTACCAGAACTGGATGATTTTTCTCCCACTGGGACAGGAGAACCACCACTATCAAAAGCAGTTTCTTGGGTACGGTTTCCCTCTTTTCTTCTGTCTATGTCTTGTTACTGTTTAGTCTGTTTATGGATGTGTTCATGCTGTTCAAGATTTGTAGTTTTGATAGTCTTGGGTAAAATGCAAAACTTTTTCTTGCCAGTGTTCCAGATGATTTTGCTGCCATCTATACTTATATATGTATACTTTGTAACTTATTCTCAGGTTAAAACTAAGGACCCTTTATCTGGAAAACCAGCTAGACGAGAGACAAGCACGATGCCTCAATGGGCTGGTTCTTGCTGGTAAGCTAATTAACTTCAATAGTTGAATTGTGTTAGTTAATGCAAATATGAAATGTTGAAATTCATTTTAGGTTTTGAGATGTTATATATATTTTTTACTGTATCCAGGTACTATTTGAGATTTATGGACCCAAAAAATTCAGAAGAATTGGTGGAAAAGAGGAAAGAAATGTAAGTGAAATATTTCTCTGGGAATTCTTCATATAAAATTCTACTTTCCTTTCAAATAAAAACTGAAAATGGTAATGATTAAATTTGTAATATTATGTGAATTCCTCCTTTTCTTTTTGTCTTTTTTGATATCCTCTTGATCTGCAGGTACTGGAACCAAGTTGATGTGTATGTTGGGGGTGCAGAACATGCTGTTCTTCATTTACTTTATTCAAGGTTCTGGCACAAGGTGTGTAACTTAAATCTGTCTTGTTCTTCATTTTGGAACATAAATGTGCATAAGATTGACCAATATGAAATTGCATGACTTTGTACAATAGTTGTATCTATAATTACAGCTGTCGTGGTCATTAATCCTTGATGCTGTTGTATTCAAGTCTTGTGTCATATTTCGTATGAATTGTTAATGCCGCATAATATTATTTCAGGTTCTCTATGACATTGGCGCTGTATCCACCAAAGAACCATTCAAGTGTGTCATAAACCAGGGCATTATTCTTGGCGAAGTAAGTACAGTTGTTTTTGCTCTTTGAAGTAATTGGAAAAGTAATTTTTTTTTCCAATACATGTTTCTAATGCTTAGCTTTGCAGGTTCAATATATCGCTTACAAGGACTCTGATGGGAATTTTATCTCTGCCGACTCTGGGACAGCAGTGGAACATCAGCAAGAAATAATACCAGAGGAAAAGGTACTTTTCTTGGATGCCTCAGTATAGTTTGATCCCGTACACAGTCTGTTTTGAAAGGTGCCAAGGGAAGAGTGAGAACCATTTGTTTGGCATTTCATATTCCTTTTTCTCATTTTATTATCTCTGACAATATTATTACTTCTGTAGGTCATGAAATCGGGGGATTCTTTTGTACTGAAAGACAATCCTGACATTTGTCTGATTGCACGCTCTCATAAAATGAGTAAAAGTAGGGGAAATGTAGTCAATCCCGATGATGTTGTCTCTGAGTACGGGGCGGATTCACTTCGCTTATATGAAATGTTCATGGGGCCACTTAGGTAATTTTCTTTTCATTGAATTTTTATCTTATTAGGTACTTGGTTTGGCCTATGTTTTCGCTTATGTGCCTAGGAAATTAGGAATGTCTATGCCTATCTCAAGTACAAGATAATATCGACAAAGATAAACTTTGCTCTTGATTAATCTTTCTTGTCACTGAATCTTGCTTCTAGAGATTCAAAGACCTGGAATACGAGTGGAATTGAAGGTGTCCATCGATTTTTGGGAAGAACATGGAGGCTAGTCGTTGGTTCACCATTGTCTGATGATACATTCAAGGATGGGACAGTAGTGACTGATGGGGAACCTATGTTGGAGCAACTTCGTTCTCTCCATAAGTGCATTGCAAAGGTCAGATCTTAATTTCTGTACTCAATCTTCTAGTTCTTTTTATATCATATTCAAATTTCTCCGTGGTCATTTACTATGAGTTGTGTTCTTAGAAGGTAAATCATGAAAATTACGATAGAATGGCACGTCCAAAAATCAGAAGTATGCACCTTTTAACCAATAAATTTTCCAAATTGCAGGTAACCGAGGAAATAGAAGCAACAAGATTCAACACTGGAATATCTGCGATGATGGAATTCCTCAATGCGGCTTATAAGGTCCTTGAATCCATTTAAAACATACATGGACCATCTTTTTGCGATGGTTAAACATGACAGATTACTGACTTTAACTGTTTCATATCCCTTTTCAGTGGCAAAACCATCCAAGATTGGTTATTGAAGCATTTGTTTTGTTGCTCTCACCGTATGCACCTCATATGGCCGAGGAGCTTTGGTTTCGCTTGGGACACTCCAAATCTCTGGCATATGAGCCTTTTCCGAAGGTGAGATTACAATATCATGTAGGATGTAAAACCACGCAGAGAATGTCGAATGAGAAATGCAGATCACTTGTTGATTTCTTCCTATGTTCTAATAAATGCAGGCGGATCCTGCTTACTTGAAGGAATCTACTATTGTCCTCCCAGTTCAGATCAACGGCAAGACCAGGGGTACGATCCAGGTTGAAGAGACCTGTTCGGAGGAGGATGCTTTCCAACTAGCAACACAAGATGAAAAACTCTCCAAATATCTGGATGGAAAGTCGATTAAAAAGAGAATTTTTGTCCCCGGCAAGATTCTGAATGTTATCCTGGACCGTGAAAACGTCAAGGCAGCTGCCCGATAATCCCTTCAGTCCCATGCCGGCACTGGTGATTGAGTCAGACAACTGCATGAAGAAACAGCTCCCCAAGTTTTCTGCTTTGCAATTGATTGCATGTACCTTCCCGTTTCGGACGCCTTGAAATCTAGGATTCGGTCTAGGACTTTTGGGAAGAAGGAAAGCACAGCTAATCATGCACAATCCATAATATATTCTATTTGCAGTGCGGACCCTGGCTTGTCCTCACAGGACAAGGCCCCATGTTCGAGGGGCCCTAAAATAAACGAAATTTATGTAAATAGGTGGAGTCATTAATTTTTCTCTATTTACATAATAATAAAAAAGAACAACAATTCATAAAAGAAGTAAGATTTTCTTCCTCTTTTCCGCCCTCCGCTTTTCTCTTTGACATACACCATGAAAACCGCCTCTTTCTTTTTTTATGATTGAATTATTACTTAAACGTTGATAAATGTGCTCATTCCTATAGGGTGACACATTACTTAGTGAATGCAGGCCGACTTGAAATGAAATAGGAATTGGATATCTCCGATTGTATCGGGTTAAATTTTCGTTTTGTAAGCTCCAGCGGAGTTGAAGGTCATGCATTTATATTGGTGATCCGTAAAGAATGTGGTTAACAAGTTCAGAAATTTATCATTCAACTCTCGTTGTTAGTGCTCGGTTTCTTCATTCCCTCGCTTAACATTTTCAACATCGACGCGATATCATCAAACTGAGGATTTGTATTGTGATCTGTGTAGAATGTAGTGATCGTCCCGTGCAACTCAATACAACTCCAGCCTGGGAGTTTCTTCAAGCCAAGATACCTCATTTGGCTCCATGCCTCGCCAACGCCATCCCATCTGTTCATCGAAGCGTAGCTATGTGCCAATTGCACGTAGTTTCCAGCATCCCCAGGTCGCAACATCAGAATTTCTCCGGCAATAATGTTCCCCAGTTCCTCATTACCCTTCGTTCGACAAGCGTCAAGAAGTATGCCCAAGACATCGACTGCCGGCTCTTGAAAAACCCTCTTGTAGAAGTCATATGCCTCTTCCACCCGGCCAGCTCGACTGAGAAGATCAACAATGCAAGCGCGGTGTTCAAGGCTCGGGGCAATGCCAAAGTCTGCTATCATTGACTGGTATATGCTCAAGCCTGTGTCAACAAGCCCATTGTGACTACAAGCAGAAAGAATTGACAGGAAGACGACATGGTTTGGTTTAATTCCAGTGAGCAGAAACTCTGAATACATCCTCAACGCGGTCTCTGCTTTTCCATGGCAACCATAACCGGAAATAATCGTGCTCCATGAGACCAAATCTGGGTCTGACATCTCAACGAAGCACCTGTGAGCTCTATCTAAGTCACCACATTTTGAGTACATGTCAACCAGAGCTGTGTCTATCAAAATGCATGGTCTAAGGCAACTTCTAATTGTAAAGTTGTGAATCCACTTTCCTTGATGGAGTGCCCCAATGGAAGCACAAGCTTGCAGAAGTGAGACCACAGTTAAAGAATCGGGCTTCTGAAGGGTTGCCCTCATCTCGGAGAAGAGAAGCAGAGCCTCGCGTAAATGGCCGTTTTGAGCATATCCAGCAATCATGGCATTCCAAGAAACCAAATCTCTTTTGCCCATTCTTTCGAAAACAGCACGACTCTGCTCCAAACGCGCGCACTTTGCATACATTGTTACAAGGGAGTTCTGGGCAGGGATATCTAGCCTCATTCCTTGCCTCAGCACATAACCATGAACCGAGGTTCCCATATCAAAAGAACCCAGTTGCGCACAAGCTGCAAGAGCACTAGCTACGGTCGCACTAGACGGCACTGTTTTTGATTCTAACATTTGAGAGAGAACGATTAGTGCGCTGTCCGCATAATCATTTTGCACAAGCCCTGACATCATGGCCGTCCACAGAACCACATCCTTATTCCTTGTCCCTTCGAAGATATGAAATGCAGTGTCGATGTTCCTGCATTTCAAGTACATAACTATGAGCGCTGTTTCGACATGGGAATCCAATTCATATCCAGTTCTTAAAATCTGTCCGTGCACTGACTTTCCCAATTTCAAACTACTCTGCATGGCAGCCACAGATACAGCAGATGCATACGTCTGTTTATCAGGCTCCATTCCTTCAACCCTCATCGTATACAAAAGCCGGAATACTTCTCCGATATTTCCAGCCTGGGAATAGCTTGAAATCAAGGAATTCCATGAAACTATGTCTCTTGCATTCATATACTCAAACAAGTGCCTAGCATCTTCAACTCTTCCACATTTACCATACACATTCAACATTGAATTCACCAAAGTAATGTCAGACTCAAAACCATATAATACTGCACAACCATGCAAACACTGCAAATAAGGCAGCTCCGAAACTCCGGAGGTCAAGCTTAACAGAGTAACCGAACTGGGCTGAACTCCTTCGCGCCGCATCTCCCTAAACATCTCAAACGCAACTCCAACATTTCCGGCAAGCGAATAACATCCGATAATGGAAGTCCAAGGAACAACATTTCTGTGGGGCATTACGTCGAAAACCTTGCGGGCATTTTGGACGTGTCCAAATTTGGCGTAAAAGTTGATCAGAGAAGATGCAATGTAGGCATCCAAAGATAACCCATTAACGACAATGCATTGGTGGAGCGAGAGGCCACACAGAAAGAGGTTTAAGGAGGTGCAAGCTTTGAGAAGATTAGGCAAGGTGTAGGAGTCTGGAGGTGTGTTGGTTTTGAGCATGGAGGAGTACGTGGCAAGGACTTCTTGGTGAGAGCCTTGGGACGAGAGGCGGTTGATGACGGCGTTGAAAGTTTTGGTGGTGGCAGTCGCGGTGGCTTGCTGTGGTGGTATTAGGGGGTTTAAGAAAGAGCTGTTCAGCTTGTTCATAACTCATGCTAGTGATTACTGAGGAGTCACAGAGGGTGGGTAGGCAATAAGAAAATTACATAATATGTAATGTAACTGTGTATTAGTACAAACAAACACGACAAATATATATATAGATCAAGGAACTTTAACGAAAAATTTTCGGTACAGTTCACTTTAATGAAAAACTACATTTTTACACTAAGAAATCAATCATAATACTATTCACTTTACCATTTATTTTGTTTTTATTGTTAAAACTTAAAGATTTCATGCTATTTCTATTAGTTTTCCTGTATATCAGCGCAACAAGTTCCATTGCCATTTTCCACCAAATTCTGAAAAGACTTTGGTCTGCAAGAGACGAGGATGCAGTTTGCTTGCCGCTTTGGTTAAAATGTGCCCACCTTCTTGCACTCAAAGTTCCAACCTCCATTTTCGTAGATTAGCGTAGTTTACAGTACATAGCGTCTTGTTAAAAGGTCGTACCCAGTGCACAAGGCTCCCGCTTTACGCAGGGTCTGGGAGAGGTGAATGTCAGCTAGCCTTACCCCCATTTATGGAGAGGCTGCTCCCAAGTCTCGAACCCGAGACCTACCGCTCATGGGCGAAGGCACTTGCCATCGCACCAAGTGCGACCTCTTTTACATAGCGTCTTGTTAGAAAAAAAAAAAAAAACTATAATGACAAGATACAGTTTGATTTGTATATCCAGCCTTCAAATGGCATAGAACTCTTACTACAACCTGCCAAAATCATGGCACTTACAAGAAAATAAATCAAGTTTGCCCAGCTAATTTGATTGTTTCTTTGGATATTCTCTCGCCCCGAATATTGTAGATCCAATTCTCACGTTTGTACTGCCCATTTCGATCTGCAAAACCAAGTTTTTCCATTAGTGAAGAAACTTCACTGGTGAGTGGTGAAAACATGCTAGGATAGCTAAAGATTAGTCCTTACAGCTAGCTCAAAATCTGAAGACATGCCCATTGAAAGCTCACATTGCTCCTCCGGTATACCAAGTTCCTTGCAAACCTCAGTTCTGCAGTTCGCCAACGTCTGACAACAAAAGAAACTTATTCAATGGTCACCGCTAACCGTCTTTTGTCCCAAATTACAGTTTGATTTGAGAATTGCCAATAAACCTGAGAAACTGAAACTTTGGAGAAAGATTTACATGTGTGTTGGAGCATCACCTTAAAGTTTTCCGGTGTAGAAGTATAATCCAGCATCCCAATCGTCATTAGACCACAAAACTCAAGGTTTGGACAACCCGAAGTTACATGCTTTGCAAGTTCCACACATCCAGAGGGCTCAACGCCAGATTTTGCTACCATTGTATTATACAGAGATCAGATGTTATCTCAAAACTACAGAGAAAAACAACAAATTGACTAAAATACAGAAAGCCATGGATTCTTGACAGCGGATAACAATGCAAGCATAAACTATCCTCGAGCATGCATTTCCTGCAGTATCTATGAAAACGGAGGCTCATATTTAGGAACTTACATTCCTCTCCGCTCGTATTCACTTGGAGCAACACCTTCAGAGGCTTTCTCCCAATGCTACCAACCACGTGATTAAGACGATTTGCAATCTGCAAAACATACGAGCTGAAGTTAACTAAAAACCAACTAAGCAGCTTCGGAACGGCTAAACAGAATTATCCATAAGAAAACACGAGCTTCCCCAATTACAGATAATTAACAATGGTTGCTGCTGCTCTTGAACTGCTCCAATCATAATATACTAGAGCAATATAACATACAGTGCAGAACCCGTAAGGCCATAAATTCAATTTCCATTGGAATCCAAATGGGGCACCACGGATTTAAGTAAGCTTGACAAATTTTTACAAAGAACAACAACACAAAAGGTACAATCTTTACTAGAATTACAAAACTAATACCAAATCCCATTAATTTTTCGAGACCCATCACCCGAAACATAAGAGTAACTCTGCATACAAAGTACAGAAAATGGTGTTACCAGAAAAAGTGTCTACCTTCTCATCATCCACACTCTCTACCATTGAAAGGTTTGGTACACCACCTGCATAATTTCCAAAAAAAACAAAACAAAACATATATGCTTATTGCTTTTGGAGACCAAATGGGTTACTTAGCAAAAGCTTTAAAGTATAATTAGAGAGGAAACTAATGAAAAGAGTTTGAAAACTTTGAGTTTTAAGACAAAATAAAGGGTAAAGTAAATAATATCATGATTGATATTTCGGTGTAAAAATTTGATTTTCCGTTAAAATAAATAGTACGGGCGAGGTTTTGTTAAAGTTCCCTAATTTGAGAGAGAGAATAGTCATACTTAGAAGGGGTTTCACTTTGTTGCTCTGCAAATTTCCAATGAAATGCCACTCAATGTCCTCCGGAAGCTGCAACAATCACTAAATATTCAATTTCTTTCAATATAGAGAGAGAGGGAGAGTGAGGCAGGAGTGTACGCCTGTACGGTGTACCTGAGGAGTTTTCTCGACGATTTCTTGGACGTAGTTTTCGCCGAAACAGCGATGGCCGGCGTCGTACACTTGGCGGAGCACGGAGACTGGCTTCGTCTTGCTCACCGCCACCACTCGGATCTCCTGGGATTTACGCGCTGCAGCACCGAGCGGAGCGCCGTCGCTGCGACACCGTCCACTGCGGCAGAGCTAGCCATGGCCGGTTGCTCCCCTCCTCTGGTTTCGTTCTCTCTCTCCGCCTTCTCCAGATTGTTGGGTTGCGAATCGCGATTACACGGCCATTGCATCTGCTGGCGTGGAGCTTAAAGACTCGCGGTTGCCATTGCTGCCTGGAGCGCCAGAAGGTGCGGATTGAAAACGACGACGTAGGTAGTTTGGACCATCCCATGTTTCAATGAGTTCGGCCCAAGTACACAAGCTAGGTGTGTAGACCCTGGGCTAGAATTTGAGGCTTAGGCCTGCAGTTTATGGCCCAGATTTAATTTGTTGGATTTCTCTTCTCAATAATAGAAGATATTTTAAGTTTAATTCTCGAGGCGAATGTTTTCAAGGTATTGTACGATGAAGATAAAAAAACTCTTATATTAGAATTTGACTATAATACTTATATGTACGTAATATAATTATTTTACGACTATCAGGTGGTGATTGTATATTTAAAATTGTATTCGATTGTTAAATTTGTGAAATAAATATTTCATTGAAAATACTCAAAATGATCAAGGAGAAGTAGTGTACACATTTCTTTTTATTTCCACAGCATCATGCATTATTTTACATTTAATCCATTAGAGCAATTGGAGCGTAGCCTAGAAGATGATGGCATATCTTTACATACTTAATGGACAAACCATCTTGTTCCTTCCTTAGGTCGCCAAAAGATGGCAAGCATCTGAAAAACCATACAAAATTTATCATTAATTCTCATAATTAATTACTACGTACCGGAAAAACCATCTTGTTTCTCCCGTCACCGACACAATTATTAATCATCATATGTAAACTTGAGATATAGGTAACGATACATATTTATTTGGTACAAGCGACCGACCAAAATACTAACTTGATAAATGTTATCTAGTCATCTGTTAATTACACGTGTCTATCTTTTCAATCACATATTTAGTAAAGCAACGTGATATATAATTATATAAAACTATTGACACTTTATCGTTTTGCTTCAGCCTTTTAATCAACTACAAAGAGTTTGAGACTTAGTTGTATGGTGGTATACATCCCAATTGTGCGATGTGTATTTTAACTGTGTCCCTTTGAAGAATGTCCAAGCAACATACCAATAAATCATCCAACTGTGCCTACAACGTATCCACGGGTTTGACACGTTATGTCAACTGAATACCCTTCGTTGCACTTTACTGGATATTTTCTGAAGTACCTTGCAGCCATTGCTCCCATTGGCAGCAACAAAGTCCCCATCCTATCATATTTAGAACCCCATGCGTCTGTCAATAACTTCATCATTAAAATGGGCATCGAAAAATGCCGGCGTGATTAAAAAAATGCGCAAGCAGAGAGGCTAGCTAGTTATAAAAATGAATGACTCCGATGTAAATGAGAATCTTACGTTTCTTAGGTAACGGTGTGTTGTGACTTCAATGTCTGCAGGGCTCTAAGTGCTCCCTTGGTGATTGCATGATGAAGGGAGAGGAAAAATTAAAAAAAACTGAGGATAATCAGGCTTTGATAACTAATCATCGTCACTCTGTCAAGCAATGTTGTTTTGAGGGGTGGTGAATCTGTCAATTTTCTGAAGTGATAACAAAGTCAATGAGAAAAATCCCAAAAAATAAAAAGGAAAATAGCAATTTCATATGCTGGAATTGTAGGAGAATCGTATAGGGCTTCAGATACAAAATTGTTGATCACTAATTTCTCATCCTTTTAAAGTTTCTCTAGCAGTATTTGGCTGTTGAATATATGTGCTTTTCTTTCCAGATTAGGGAATCATATCTGGCTTGTTTTAATGGAAGTAGGAAAAATCAGATTTTATTCCCTTCTTTATTTTCCTTGCTCTCTTTAAGTTTCATCAATAACAACAAAACCTAATCCCACTAAGTGGAGATTGTAAGACATATTCTGAAATCACAACAACAAGACATTAGGATCACGAATAAATCAAAATCAATATGAAATAGAGATCGACTAATTATATTGAACTTATCTGTAGAATTCGGAAGACATGGTTATGAAGGTGAAGCCTTTGATCCTTGCGAAGAAAGTAGAAGTAGTCTTCTACTTCCAGTACCTCTGAATGAACTCTACTATCGAAATAGGCTTATAGTTTTCGTGAGTTTCTATCGGTATGGAAGCAGGGACGGCTCATAGGTTATATAGCTAGGGTTTCAATCAATTCCTCCCTATTATCGGAAAGGATATCAACCCAAATCATATCTCATCAATTATAGTCACATCATGACTCTTATTCCTTGTATTTACTTAATAAAGGCCCTTAATTGATTGCATGTAATTAGGACTCCAATATGTTTATTTCCTTAAGGCACCGAGAGTCCTAGAGATTTTATTAACTTGATTGCCAAGTCAATATTCCCTCAATTATTCTCGGCATAATTCATTGTCATTCACAAAATGATTTTACAGAGATGGCTATATGAATCTTAAAACGCTAATACGCTTCCCCTTAAGTTTCATTATGGGGTGAAATTATCATGGCTGTGAAAGTGAGGAAAAGGATAATTTTTGCATTTTTCTTTATTTGAACTTTTTTATCTTAAACTTTATGATGGGATACAGAATCAGATCGAATCACAGGGAGGACAACTTTTCTTTCTTTGTCAATCAAATGATTTCTGTACATATAAGATATTTAGTAATTTATAAAATACAAGTAGCCTATTGAATTTAGACCATCATCATTTTAAGCCACACAAATAAAGCAAGACTTGTACATGCAGTTTCCAATTGTCAACTCTGTCCTCCCCAGTGTTTCTATAAAACCCACACATTCCATTGACACTCTACAATAAGTCTACACTCTTCTTCTTCAAAAACATCTTTCCTTATAAATATTTCATAACTTTCAGATATTATTTAGTCATGGCCATGAAGTTGATTAACATCTTCTTTACTCTCCTAGCAGCAGTGGCCATTGTTGGAGCTGCAAATTTCCACGACGATCATATCGAAGACGTGGAAATGCAGACTAGTACTGTAGCAGAAGCAACTACATTGCCTGAAACACCAGATGAAGCAGAAGCAACTACTTCTTTAAGAGGAGCGAGCCGTTTTCTTTATAATCGGCATAAAACTATCCCACTGCCCAGTTATACTTGCGACAACTTTCCTAGGATTTGTCGTGCGAAGAACAGCCTGGGGCCAGACTGCTGCAAGAAGAAATGTGTTGACGTGAAGACTGATCGGTACAACTGTGGGATTTGCGGCTACAGATGCAAGTACACTGAGATTTGTTGCAGGGGTAAGTGCGTCAATGCATCGTTTGACAAGAGGCATTGTGGTGGGTGCAATCAGAAGTGCAAGAAGGGAGACTTCTGTGTTTATGGGATGTGCCATTATGCATGATTAGTTCACAGTATACTACTGCTATACATTTATCCTGTCACATTATGACAGCTTACATAACAATCTTATGTAACCAACAAAGAGAAGGGGTTTTATAGTATATGTTAAATATCTACTCTGAAATTTTTAAGCATTAAATAGTTGATAAAAAATGCAATGAACTTGAAGAGTTGTATTATTCTAAGACCATTACCAATTATCTATGTATTTTTCTGCCAAAATTCTGATGTGTGTGTGTCCATGTAATGTTCACTGTCCCATATATATAGATTGGGAATTGTGTTTTACTAGTACTGTTCCGAATTAACGCCAAACAAAATTAATCTGACACGTTTCGTTTCATCATTTGCTAGTCCTCGATCCTTTGGGATTTAGAAATCACTCACCCATAGTACTTTGGAATTTTATCATGTAAGATTTAGTTCAAATTAATCACATATAGGCAAAACTCTAAAAGTGGATTAAGGGAGCAAATTTTTGCAAGTTACATATATTGTAATTTTAGGAAAATAATTAAGGACAACTGCACAAAACAAAGTAAACATTACCCTATCATATAATGAAGACACACACACGTGTATATATATAACTTACCTATGCATTTTAAAGTATTGAACTTAAGAATCTTTTCTGTTACATCGCAGAATCAACTCAAAAGTCACAACATACTTAATTTGCACTTTGTAATTATGTGAACCAATATAGCAAAACCAAACCAATTTGCTCCCACTTAACTGGGCTATACTTAACACAAACAAGTTAAGTATAAGTTAATATCAACTGTATTAACTAATGGTCATTGCAATACACTGAATGTCTTATCAATGTGATCAATTGCCGCAACAAATATGCAAACAAATTCCATGATCACATTCATCCAATTTGTATTTACAACAATGTGATTTTACTTGACTAGAACAAACACACAAATTGATTTGCTCCCACTATATCAAGTTAAGTTTAGTTCCAGCAAATAGCACTAAACTTCTCATTACTTAAACAAATTAAGTAACATAAATAATTACCAATTGCTTCAATAAAACCATAATCTGGTTTCAAGCATCCAAATGGATTATAATGGCCGGCCTAATTAACCTTATGCTTACATTCTTCTCCCACTTAAGCATAAGCAGAATGTACTGCACATCCAATAAAGAAACCGGAGATATGAACCAATTGATTCCCGATTCCTTACCAATTGCATAATCTCAGTTTAGTCAAATACACCTAAACCATTATGCAAACAGTCTATGTATCAAAAGATAGTCACAATCCATTCGGAAAAACTTATCTCACATAAACCCAAAATCACTAGTTTCAACAATGATCAAAATCAGAATAGCAAGCACAATATTTTTGCATTCAATTTGATCCTAACTAGTTCAATATCCATCGAGCAAGATCGACCAAATTTTGATAATGTCTGGATATATATCACAACAACATGTCTTGATTAAAACGAGATAATCAAGACCACTATTTCTTCTGGAGAACTCGAAGTTCATCTTCCTCCCTATTTGTGATTTCAACCAAAATATAATAGCGGAAGCATGCATCATGAAATCACAAATATACATATACAATAAGCATGCATCGATATATACATGATAAGATTAGTCGACAATAATCCAAAAAAAAAAAATATTCATGCCTTTAATTCATTGTCAACACCATCATCAATTATATACAGATTCGTAAGCAAGTCCTTGGAGAAAATAACGATAGCCACATATCATTAATCTTATGAATTTCCAATAAGATGACAAAATAATTATTTGCTTTCCGATTCATAATAGAATATATATATATATATATTGTAAATGGCTAAAAGTTTATTGTCACAAGACTCATTATAGGCAGTCAATAAAACATCTACCTTATATATTCATCTGTTCATATATATATATATATTTTTTTTTTGTATGCATGCATGCATCAATATGCAGAGAAACTTATGCAAGTTCCATTTGATATATATAAAAACGCATGCCCATAATTACAACGTCTATGCACGAATGCTATCTCCATATATATACAGATTTCATTCAAATATGCTATTATGTATAAATCACAAAGCAATTTGCATCCACTTTATATATGCATTTATTTTTGTCGCTTTATAATACCTCCTGACTTGCATATGATATGCAGTCAAATCCATTCCAACCCAAACTTGATATAAATCAAACCAATTGAAAATCAAGAATTGACACTAAGATGTGCATGTGTAGCTCCCCGCAATTTAAATGTATCGAGATTCATACATGAAAAAATGCATACACATTGACTCTTTAATGAAAAATAGAAGAGTATATCTAGACATACACTAATTTATTTATGCAGCAAAGGATGATTCCAGACATCTCACATAAATCACAAGTTGGCATCTATAGGGATTTCGAGTTTAATCATGCCTTCACAATATATATAAATAAACAAGCATACTCGAAATAGCAAAAGCCCTAATTCATTATGCTCCAACTCATCGAACTATAATCACGCATATAGGAGAACAATTAATCATGCATGAAACAATGAAGTGAGTTACCTGAATGCATCATTGGACCCGTATTCGTCAACCCGATTGCAATTCCTTGGCTCCAAATCAACGAAATAAATTATCCATCAATGCTTGAGACCCATCCATATGGATTGCCATCACTCCAAATTCCTATGGACCTCGTACCATTGCAGATTATCGAAGTGCATTGCCATTGTTACAGTCGCGATTTTCAATTGAAACATCAAAAAACCAAAAGAAACAGCATGCGGGTCAATAAAATGCAAATAAAGTCTGTAAATATTTCATAAGCATTGTACGACATCATGGTTTGAAAACCCAGAACATCTCTCTATATTTATGACCATTATTAATACAAGAGAGATCAGAAAAACAGAAAATACCATAAGTTGCAGACATCATTAACAACGCAACGGAAGCAATAGTTACCAGAAATATATAATTATATTTTGGTGAGATTTGATGTTAACAGATCACTTACATGGATCTTCTAGAGACAAACAAGATGAAGATGTCTGCAGACATGATCAAAAGATCGCTGGTTGTTTTCTTCTTTTGAATCGATAATGGTCATAAAACTTTTAAAAATAGTTTAAAGAACCCAGTTTTCTTTTGGGCAGCCAAGAGTCATTTAATAAAAAATTATTCGCACAAAACGACGTCGCATTCCTTGTTCTTCAGAAAACCAAATAGACAGACTTTATATGTTGCAGATTTTAGGAAACGATTTTTGATCGAATTTAGTTGTTAAATTCAATGGCTCTGATACCACATGTAAGAATAAGCATAGCCTTTATAATATACTTAGCCAAGAACACAAGAATTTAGCAACTAAATCACAACCAACGCATCAAATATGTTCTACATATGCAAATACTGAAGTAATATCTGCAACACGTACCTGCAGACTGTTTGACGAAGTTTTTCCCATGTGTGCTGTCAGAAGACAACAGATGGTGCAGCTCTGGATGTCATTGGAAGGCAGTCACAGGATAGTTGTATGCGTGTACTGTGGACACATAGACCTTATCATCTTCATCAGTACAAGTTGTCAAGATCTTAAAGAAACTCGACAGATTCTCGTTCTCCATAAGCCTCTCTGGTGAGATTCCATATTTATGGTTTTGCATTACAAGATAATCTGTACTCAACTTCTTAAGCAAGTCCGGAGGAAATCTTTGAAAAACAGTTCCTTCAATAACGGCGTTCTCGGTAAATTGTAAAGTTTGTATGTTGTAGTGTATGTAACAAAGCCTTCCCGTAAGGCCTGAGATATGAAATTGATTTGAAAAGCTGTCGTGTTTCTAAGTTTAACATAGACATGTTCATGGACGAAGAAGCCATGGACGAATCTACACACAAGCTTCTCCTCTCTTGCAAAATCAAAAGTACTCAAACTAACAATAGGTCTTAGTTCAATATTGAGCGTATATTTTGTGAGAGCAGTGGCTTATGTTTTTATACTAAACATAGATTGCCCTATTACAATCCTACAAGGAATACAAGACCAAATCCTTGTATAAGTATGAGTTCTATTCTCGAGCCAACAGTAGAGTTTCAATCCAAACCAAAGTTGAATTAACTCTTATAAACACATTAAGACATCTTTATACCAATCTGAAATAACAATGATTATTACTAAACTGTGAGAATCACACTCATACTCTAACAAGATTTAGTTCAAATTAATCACATATAGGCAAAACTCTAAAAGTGGATTAAGGGAGCAAATTTTTGCAAGTTACATATATTGTAATTTTAGGAAAATAATTAAGGACAACTGCACAAAACAAAGTAAACATTGCCCTATCATATAATGAAGACACACACACACGTGTATATATATAGTCATTAAAAATTTGCATATACTTATATTTTTTGCGAGAGCCAAATCTATGGAAATGAATTGGTTGGTGACTTCTTATTTTGATTGATGCATAATAGTACAATATATACATATATTTATATATATAGTCTATAACAATTTTTTATTTATTGAATCTTATACTAATTACAATTGGTTACTACTTGCTATATACAAGAAGTAGTAACTACAAAAAAAAATTCCAGAGTTAAGAATTCTAATATAACAGGGCCCGATGGTCACCTTCCTTGAAGCTTCTTATGATTTAACCACTAACAACCATGTCATACAATTTACAAGATATAATATAAATAGATGATTTCCCTAACATTACCCGTTACTTATATGATTCCAGAAGTATCAATGGAAAAAAAATATAATAAAAATTAAAAAATTAAAAAAAGTCAATATATAAGGCTCCACAAGTGGAAGTGCTTCTGTAACGGTTTCCCCGTTTGAAGAATGGACTGATTTTGGTTTCTTGGACCCTTGAGAAACCATAAGGCGGGCGCTTTAGCTCGCATGTAATTGCCAACATATTTACATGCATCAATGCATGCATGAGTCTGATGAATTAACCCAAGCAAATTATAAGTCTAATGATTCATCATGAGTGTTATGAATTAACCGTCAGCCTATGAGCAAACTCAGCGACTTAGTTTCCTTCTTCGTTCATGTATAATTTCATACTGACCTAATTTCGAGTATAATGTTTCTTTGGAAGCCTAACTTTGTTTACTTAAAACGTTTTGTTTGTAGCCATTTGAATTAGACCAACGCATTAAGGACGTCATGAATACTCTCAAATTATATAAGTTAATTAACTAATACATGCAACCCTGGTTTTCAAATGCTATCGAACTCGTTGAACTCTATCAACTAGCCCCCCACTGATCAATTTTTCTCTATAAATACTTCTGCAAACCCATATGCTTATATCCATCTAAACAAACATCATATACGTTCCTTCATCAACTTTTCCTTTTGAGATCTCTCCGCTTCACCAACAAATTAAACTTGCATCATGAAAGCCTTCAAGGTTTTGCTTGTTCTTGCCATGCTACTGACTTTAACCATTAGCACTCTATCTGCAATCCCAGGCCAAGAAGAATCATTCTTCGAAGAGGAAAACAATGATCCAAATGATGAAACCAAAAGCCAATTAGAAAAAAGCACTTCTCTGAGGGGAACAGGCCGCTTCCTTGCTTCTCGGGCGACAGTGATGACATGCGACAAAAAACCTAGTGTTTGTCGGGTCTCGGGCAGCGGAGGCCCAGACTGTTGCAAGAAGAAATGTGTGAACACGAACACAGACAGAGTAAACTGTGGCAAGTGTGGGAAAAAATGCAAGTACGCAGAGATATGCTGCAAAGGCAAGTGTGTGAATCCAAGGTCTGACAGGAAAAACTGTGGCGGCTGCAACAATAAGTGCAAGAAAGGCAGTTCATGTGCGTATGGGATGTGCAGTTATGCGTGATCGAATTAATTACTGATCAGCAGATAATGAACTCATATTCGGTCGACATTGCGAAGATAAAATAAGGCTATATGAATGTATGTATGTGTGCAAGGATAATAAGGGCTAGCTAGTCATCACCTTTTGGTGTGCTAGCTTGGCCAGTTACTTGTTGATTATTTCTTTTATTATTAATGTAAAAATTCTTAAGAATAATGAATAAAATATTATCTTTTATTTTATTTATGTTAAGCTTGCAATTAGATATATTCCGGTTAATCGTATAACGATTACTCAGTCTCTGCCTTTTAAGTCATGTGTGCATTACCGTGCTTGTATACATGATCTAGATCTTTAACATTCAATTAGAAATCTGTTTCCCTCTCCCTGCACACAAATATGTGCATTACCACTCAGACTTTATTGTAATGCTAAAGCACCACCTTTGTTAACTTCCATTCAAACTTCCCTTAAGTACCTATTGTTTTATCTTTTAATTTTAAGCGTACATATTTTATTTAATACCTGCAAAGCTTTTTTTATTAATTGATGAAAAGATCATATTTGTTTTAGTTAAGATTAACCTTCAGTTTGATATATACTGTATGTATAGGGAATTTAGTTTGCAAGAAAAGGCTAATGCTAGAGAGACTAAATTTGGAGATTAAAGGATATGAAATGTTATGATTGGTTTTTTATTACTTAACCGTTGATAAACGTGCTCATTCCTATTGGTGACACATTATTTAGTTTTTAAATTTAATCTCCAAATTTAATCTTTCTAGTATTACCCTTGCAAGAAAACACCATTTGGGCATCTTAAAAATTGAATCATATCATGTCCATATTCGTGCCCCAGATATGGATACGATTAAAAAAAAATTGAAGTTCCAGTTAAATTAATTGGGAGTAGGGTGATTAAAAGAGTTTGCTGAATATAAGTCTCATATTGGGAAACTAAGAAAGTAAAATAACATATAAGTGTATGGTTTCACTTATAACAACATCGAAGTTTTTTGTCATAAAATTCAACACCTAGTAATAATTGGTTAAGTTAGAACAGTATTAATGTGGCAGGAGTGGGTCAGTGACCCGTCTCTCTGTCTGGCATGGTATCATAGCGAGTTTGATTGTAGGTCATGTGGGTTCGTGTTGTGGCCGAGTTAATTATTAATGTAACACTATGTTTCTGCGCTCATGTCTGACGTGGAATTGGTTGCACGTGTGGCCTACTATGTGGTGGTCCCACGTGAGGGGGCATGTTGAATATAAGTTTCACATTGTAAAATTGTAAGTGTATGGTTCTACTTCTAATAACACCATAGGATTTTGTGATAAAATCCAACACCTAACAATAGGTGGGTAAGTTAAGACAATATCAGTGTGGTTAGAAGTGGACCAGTGGTCTGCCTCTTTAAATATTTGACGTAGTTGAATTTCACCTATATTAAGTGGCAATAGAGTGGATCCCCAACTCGTTATGGATACATGCATGCAAAATTTCTTAACTAATTTATCGATATTGGATTTACACTTTTAACAGATAGTGCGACGAGTTCATCTATAGTTGCACGGGAACTTTTCTTTGCAAGGAAATGGGCAAAAGGAGCATAGTTCTTCGCAAGGACCAAAGATTTCTTTTTTAAAATGTGTAAGCCATTAACCAGCCTTACATTTCTTAATTAACCTTTTACCGATGTTGAAGCCATGTTCGTAGGTGCACTGTTCTGACTTCAGTGTCTGCTGTGCTTCAATGTATTGAAGTAAGGTTGGGATATTCACACATCCAATTTTACCTCACACGCATTCTAAAAATCCATTAAACAATTGAAATTTGAAGGAGTGAGAAGGAAAATGGGATGTGTAAGAATATATATCCCCTTTTTTTCTCCGGTTGAGCTATTGCAGTGTTTTCAAATAAAACTTGTAGTTATCATGTGTTAAAAAGGTTATTCCCAGAACCAAATCTATGCTAACGAAATCGAATTGGATGCTATTGAAGTCATCGGGTAGTCACCCTCCTCGAAGTTTCTTCACTAATATTTATTGGTCAATGGTCAATTATGTGATTCCAAAAGTATACTAAAGAAGGAAAAAGGTTAACATAAATAGAGGCTCAACAAGTGCTTCTGTAATGGTTTCCCCCTTCGGAAAATGGACTAACTTTGGTTTCTTGGACCCTTGAAATAACAAGAAGGCGGGCTAGAGCTACCGTAAGTACCAACATATATGCAATATTATGCATGCATGAGTATGATTAACCCAAGAAAAAAAGGAGAACACCACAGCCTAATCACAGCCTAACCTGCCTACTTTATCATCAAGTAAATTTGTATCTTCTTATTCATAAGTTCATGTCCACCTAACTAATTTGGAGTACAATATTTCTTTCGAAACCTAACTTTGTTTACTTAAACGCTTCGTAGCCCTTTGATTTAGACAACCCATTAAGTAGATGAATACTCTACAAATTAATACCACACATAACCCCTCTCATTCTTCTCTATAAATATTTCTCCAACCCTATATGCTTCTCCATCCAAAACATTCATACATCTATACTTTGTTTCACCATCTTCTCTCCCTTCAAAAATCTCTCCTTTTATATTTACAATACACCCAACTACGCAACTAAAACATCATGAAAGCCTTCAAGGTTTTGCTTGTTCTTTCCATGGTAATGGCTTTAGCCATTACTCTCTCTGCAACTAAGGACCAAGAAGAATCATTCTTGGATGAGGAAAACAAAGATACAGATGATGCAACCAAAAGCATGCAATCAGATAAAACCACTTCTCTTAGGGGAAGAAGCCGCTTGCTTGCCTCTCGGGCCACTGTGACTACATGCGACAAACACCCTAGGGTTTGTCGGGCATCGGGCAGTGCAGGGCCAGATTGCTGCAAGAAGAAATGTGTGGATACGAACACAGACAGAGTAAACTGTGGCACGTGTGGGAAGAAATGCAAGTACGGGGAGACATGCTGCAAAGGCAAGTGTGTGAACCCTAGGTCTGACAAGAAAAACTGTGGGAGCTGCAACAACAAATGCAAGAAAGGCAGTTCATGTGTCTATGGGATGTGCAGCTATGCATGAAATTCTTTCAGTTACCATTTGAGGGACTTAACCAATTAATTATTGTTTATAATTTGATTTTTCTTTTATTATAATGTACTTAAGGAATAAATCATTTGTAAGAGAAGGAGGATCCATCCTGGATTCTATATTTCCTCTTAGGGTTAGGATTGTTTCCTTGTTCTTGTGTGCAATATAATTCTTATATGTTAAGAAATATTCTAGCTTGTACTCCAAGTTATTGTTTTAAATAAATGGGTTTTTCAAATTTAATCCTTACAGAATATTGAAATTTAATGAAAAACATGGTGTAAGATTACATATTGACTATAGTCCCTTGATGTGTCCTTAATTCAAATTAATTAATATGTATTTTATTTAATGTTTCCCATTAAATATTTAAAAAATTTTTTTTACCCAAAAAAAGTTTTTTAAATTTATTAATTTTATTTAACATTCTTCAAACTTGAAAACTCAATTAATGTACCTAAAATGTATGTACCGAAATGTATTATAATAAATTAATGTACCTAAATGTGTGTACCAAAATGTATGCACTAAAATGTATGTACCGAAATGTATGCACTGAAATGTATGTACCGAAATGTATTATATTGAATTAATGTATGTACCGAAATGTGTGTATCTAAATGTATGCACCTAAAATGTATTATAATGAATTTAATATACCTAAATGAAGAAGACAAAGTATATCGAAATATATTGTATAACAAAAATTAGTTAACTAAATATTTACAACAAAATATATTACGATGAATGAAATGAAAATTATAATTATGATGAAATATAATTAATACATTAAAATGAGGTGATTAATGTTCAAATGGACTAAAATTAGATTTTGATCTTACTCATGGTTTTAATCTAAAAGTCATCTTTACCAAGAATTAGAATGAAGTTTCCTTTAAATAAGTACCTGGTATTAGAGGTTATTATGAAGTGGGTCTCTTTCTCTCTCAATTATGAGGGGAAATATTATCTTCTATTTAATTAGTTAAGTTCTTATGTGGAGATGATCTTCACCGTTCAATTTAATTAGTTTGGTACTGTAAGTATGCTAGAAGGAAATTTTTTTTTTTAACAAATAATATTATCTATACTAAATAGGAGGGGGTGTGTAACATCCCACATCGCCCAAGGGAGTGATCCTTAAATGTATATTCCCACCACGCCCTCACAGTTATGCTAGAAGGAAATTTATTTTTTATTTTTTGAACAAATAATATTATCTATACTAAATAGGAGGGGGTGTGTAACATCCCACATCGCCCAAGGAAGTGATCCTTAGATGTATATTCCCACCACGCCCTCACGGTTTTGTTTCTGGGAACTCACGAGCAACTTCCCAGTGGGTCACCTATCATGGGAGTGCTCTGGCCCCCTTCTCGCTTAACTTCGGAGTTCCTATGGAACCCGAAGCCAGTGAGCTCCCAAAATGCCTTGTGCTAGGTAGGGATGGGAATATACATTTAAGGATCACTCCCCTGGGCGATGTGGGATGTTACAATCCACCCCCCTTAGGGGCCCGACGTCCTCGTCGGCACACTTCCGGCCAGGGATTGGCTCTGATACCATTTGTCACATCTCGGCCCGGGGCGGATCACTTCCCGAGCTCGCTCCACCACCGTAGCACGATATTGTCCGCTTTGGGCCCTGACCACACCCTCACGGAGGGATTGGCTCTGATACCATTTGTCACATCCTGGCCCGGGGCATATCACTTCCCGAGTCTGCTCCACCACCGTAGCATGATATTGTCCGCTTTGGGCCCTGACCACGCCCTCACGGTTTTGTTTCTGGGAACTCACGAGCAACTTCCCAGTGGGTCACCCATCCTGGGAGTGCTCGGCCCCCTTCTCGCTTAACTTTGGAGTTCCTACGAAACCCGAAGCCAGTGAGCTCCCAAAAGGCTTCGTGCTAGGTAGGGATGAGAATATACATTTAAGGATCACTCCCCTGCGCGATGTGGGATGTTACAGGGTGGGTTTAGCCTTGAACAAACAATATTTAGTTCAAATTCGCCTTTGGCGAGAATCAAATCTAAGACCTCTCACTTACAAGTGAAGAGGAATATCACTAGACCAATGGTGGAGTCAAAATTTGAAGCTAGGAGGGGCCTCTAAGCCCTACGAAAGAAATTGAAAATAATA